ACGCAGTACATGTAGCTACCGTCTCTCACCATGAAGCGCATTCGCCGGCATCGGCCCAGGTGGAGCCTCTTCTTGGCCTCGATGAAGCCTTCTTGGCCCGACTACAGGTGTTATGGTGCGCGACGGGTGTCGCTCTTACTATTGTCTACTCGAGGGTCCTTGCTTCTTTTCATCATCACTGGTTGTCTCCTGAAAGAAAGGCTTTAGTTGCGCGCTGTTGGCCACTCTTTTATTGCATTCGCCAGACCTCACGAGACGCACTATGTTAGGTGAAATAAATTTGGGAGCCAGTTTCGCAGCGAATCCCTCAGTAGTGTTGGACAGCTGGTACTGCAACTTTTTATTAATTCATGTTGGATGCTTGACCAGTTCGGGTAGACTATCGATTTGACTTCGTCTAAGAATTAACTCCTATTTGTAAAATGGAGCCTGCGAATGTACATCAATACGGCTACTATCTTTAAATATTTGCGTTATGGTTCCTATGTGATACTAGAAAAGTCAAGGGCAAATGGTTATGTCATGTCTAAAGTATAGGTACTGCTCTAGCTTACTAGTGCCTACTCAAAAACAGAATGTCGTAAAGCCTGCTTTAGTAAATTGCCAACCAAAGATTGGTATCTCAATTTAAGACTCGTAAAGCAAAAGCGTCCTTTTTTTTAAATATTAATATTGAAAAAAAAGGCGTTTAAAAGAGATGTGTAGAAGTTTGGTTATTGTTAGTAAGTCCAAGTACGCCTTTGGCCTCATTAAAGATGCTAGCTAACATATATGAAGATTGAAGTAAAGTCGAGAATCACGCCTAGATCCATTACTATAAGTATCCGATGCAATGGTGTATTGTCGACTGTATAACTGACAAGATAAGGTGTAGTTCGATTAAACGTGCAGTTGATGCAATTGATTGGTCGAACACCAAATTTATATAGCGCTCAAATTATCTTGCAGACGAGAGGGATGAAGAGGACTAGTGCATGAAAGAATAAGTTTCACATCGTCCGCATATCTAAGTACACGGGCACGTATTATCATTTATAAGAAGAATAACGAGTAAAGGTCAAAGATGATTACCTTGAGGAAACCCAAAGTAACGTGAACTTGTTGCGAAGTCATTCTCTGCATTCTGGAAGGGAAAATTCATTTACAAAAAAGTAAATTCAAGCAGGTTTATCGATGGTAACCGATTCATTACGAATCAATCTTAAAAATGAGAGACACTGATTTTCAGAAATTGTGGTTCGACTCTAATTATGCTGTTTGTGACTTTAATGAATCTAGTTATGGTTATTGGTAGGCGTTCTACACAATCGCTCGCAGCAAGATTCGTTGTTCGACTCAGCTTGTGTAGAGTGCTGGACGTGTGGCTCAACAACGAAGAAATAATTGAACTGAAAAAGCCAATACCCAAAACTAATTCCGTTTATATTATTTCCCTTTAAGACCGCCCGAGAGTATAATCCCGGCATTTATGGTTGTGCTTGAGTAATTTCGAAAATTGTATTAACCTGGAGTAATTCAGTGATATATTCCGCCGTTCGTGACGAAAATGCCGGCGGTAAATATGTTTGGTTTACTTGAGTGTGTACTACTCTACAATAACTGAGCTAATTAATCTCTTCGTCCATAAGATCAATCTCGGTATTCACTTGTCTTATCTAATCCTAGGGTATATATGTATGATAAAGGTACCCATAGAGTGCTACCAAAGACAATATAAACACTAAGATGAGTAACCCCATACATTTGAATGCGACGCAAAATTTCTAGCCTGGCCTTTCATCTGGCCTTTGAGGCTTCGTACGGCATGCCTGCCGACTGGTTGTTCGTTCTCTAAAGACCAGACGAACGAATGCCGAAGTCACGGCTTGCTGATGCTGACACAAGCTACGAAGTTAGTCGCCAGCCTGCCTTTAGCAAAGCTGGTCGATGCTGCTTTGCGCCGCTTCGTTTTCGAAGTTAATTGAGCGAAAACGTTTAGAACTTACGATCGACGCAAAGTGCTTGTGCTTAATCCATGAAATGCATGCTTTATTTAAATGATATATTACCCTAGATATTAACGATTAATTTTACAGGAAAATTTAAGAACTTATATAATTTTTACACAAGGCGCTTCTTGCGCAATAACTATGCTAAGAAAATAGCGCACATAGATTGATTTCACTTTCCTTTTTGGACAGTGTATGCTCGAGAAAAGTTCTTATCTCAGCCAATAGCGTGCGTGCGCCTTTGGTTGTATGCGTGAATTATGCATGCACAAGAGCTTTAAGATATGTATGTATGTGTTGTTATTCACTCCTCAGGTTTTAGCTGGCAGAAAATTAATTTTGTTAGTTTTCTAGCGCAGATCCAAACCTATCCCAAATTTCTGTTGATATATGAATCCATTTTGTGTACTGAAGTTGGCTCCGCAAAAAAATATTTATTTCTAAGTCGATGCAAATATTTACATAATTTCTCTAAATTAAATTAATATTATTTTTATTCTCAAATTAAGAAATAAAAGAGTGCTAAAAAATACAATTACATTTCAAGTCGACTCGAAGGTCATATTAATTATGACCCCATTATAATTATAATGGCCCCCTCGCGGTGTTCCCTGCGTACTTTGTTCTTTATAATTCGAACAAAAAATAATAAAATAAAAAAAAATAAAAATTAATTAAATGTATCTTTAAAAACAACAATTTAAAAATAATAATAATTTAATTGATAATTTCAAATAAAAAAAATTACATAGATATTTGCATCGACTTAAAAATACAATTTTTTTTGTATGGAGCCAACCTCAGTACACAAAATGCATTCATATATCAACAGAAATTTTGGGTAGGTCGTGATCTGCGCTAGAAAACTAAGAAAATTGTTTCTTTGCAAGCCAGAGACTTTGCCAGAGCAGTGGATAACAACACATTCAAATATGCTTTATGTATGTATATTCACACGCATACAAACATAATTGCTTGCACGGCCCTCATAGAGCCGAAGCTGAGAGCAAATTGTATTTTTAGCTTTTTCGTTCTCTCGGCTGTGAGAGCGCAATGCTACAGATTTCGTTTTCGTTCTCAATTTTCAAAAAATCAAGCTGCATAGTAGCATTTTGTTGTATGGCGTTACTCATCTTAGTGTTTTTATTGTCTTTGGTGCTACTGGTAATCTAAAGCGGCTTTTGGTTAATCATTTAGAACAACAATTTTTTAACATAAGCTTAACTGTCGATCGATCATTCCTATGGCAGTTATACGGTATAAAGCTCAAATATTGAAAAGATTAGTGAACATAATGAAACCAACAAATGCATAGTTTTATTAAGACATCTTGATAAGCAAAATGTATTCAAACAAGAACTTATTTCTCCAACGATCGTTTCTATGGAATGTTTGCCAGGTTTGATCAGCCTGTTGTTGATCAACAAACAAGTTGTTTATTCAAGAAGATAATAGTCTAACGAGGTTAGTAAGATTTTAAATATATTTAATAATTTTTAAATATCGAGTTTGTTCTATATATGTATACTTATAAATAAATATGCTGTCCATCCAAAAATATAATTTTAACCCAATAATTCTAATGCCACTATATGATATAGTGATCCAATCCTGCAGCTTTTGATATATGCATTACAGAAAACAGAAACAATGTTTTAAAACTGACAGACTACCTCGCATAAAAACATAATTATATATTTTATTGGTTAGAGATTTCTCCTTCTATGTATAAGTTATTGAGAGTTGATTATCGCGCCGATGTCACTCTGGTATGAAATCCGTCTTCAGGATGTAGTTTGTCAGCAAATAATATTTATATTTTCACGTCAATTGTCGGAGCAAGTACTTTTTTGAGCAGTGAGCACTTATAATATTCATACAAAACTGAAAATTTAAAGAACTACGGCATAGAACTTGAGCTAAGAATGTCCAGTGGAAAAGTACCGGCAAGCCACTCCTCTTACAAATCCTACGGCCTGCATTGTGACATACGAAACGTTATATGAGCGTGAGCTGTTCAATAACTTTGTCGTTCGGGCATGCGGAGGTATTTTAATGTCTACTTGAGACTGACGCCGGTTAACTTATACACACCTCATGACAATAATATAATATTGTATTTATACGAAACGTGAGTTGATGTTATCGCTGATCTTTTGTTAATTACAACCAGAATCCATTGAAAATTGTTTAAAAGAGTAAAATACGTATTTTTCTGTATGTGTAAAGCTTGGATATTAGACGAATATTCATGGTACGTCCTAGAGGGGCACATGCGAAAAAAATTCTTTCATTTGTTAACATATATTTGTTTCTTCTTTAATATTTTATTTCCCTTTAAATCATATTTATACAAAAATTGTACATAGTAGTAATAGAGCGATGAGTATACATCTCCAAAATCAGATTAAAAATTACGAATTTTTCTAATTCAAATGCCATTAAAGCATTTAAAATTCAGACAAAAAATCGTTTCGTATTTATAGAAGACATCTAAGTACCCATTAAGTATATATGCATTTGAATTCGTGATAAATTTTAAAGCATATAGCTCTAAATTTAGAATCGGTAAAAAAAATGAAGAGTTTTCAAAGCTATTTGGTAAAAATCAAATGCATAACTCAGTTGCTTTAAGCATCAAGAAGCTTTTTATACCCTGAACGCATTAAAAATGGGTATAAGGGTATATTATATTTTTGCAAAATCCAAATGTATGCAACAGGCAGAAGGATGCATCTCCGACCCCATAAAGTATATATATTCTTGATCAGCACCAATAGTCGAGTCGACCTAGCCATGTCCGTCTGTCCGTATATGTAATTCATCATAATAATATCTAATCATCTTATAATATAAATCATGCTTTTTTAAGGCAAATTATTTAAAACCAAATTATAATAAAAAACCTTTGTAATTCTATGGTATACAAAAACTTTACTGCATATATTATTGTTACCTCTTATTATATCTATAATATAAACGCATATAAACAAGTTAAATTTTAAATTGCAGCTCAATTCTTAAAGACCATGTAATAGATCATTTTGAACAAACTCCACCTATGTCCACTTTTACATTTGGCTTTGTGACATCAGCACTTTTTAAATTAAAAGATGACTTGAAAACGGCAAGGAATTCAACAGATCCCGTTATTAATTTTTGGAGTTTTCAAGATCGAACAAATCAATTAAAGGTAAGAGATATATGTTTTTTATTTTGTACTTGCCATTTAAAATTCAGGAGCAGTTAAACGCTCTCAATTTTAGGAACAATTTTTCGATCCGTACACATAAGAATATTTATGTTCTTGCATTAACAACAATTGAATTGATAAATTAAATTAAAATTGAATTGAACTGTTTGAATTCTGTTGTTTCACGAATGTAGAGGGAAATTATTAGTTGCAAAAAAGGTTGCTGTTGCCACTAATCAAACAACATATAGACTGAAAAAGCAGTGAACGGCGGTGGGGCTTCTCGTTTTTTGTGCGGCTGGTCCAAAGTCGCCTACGTTTTTGTTAGCAAGAGAGCAAGAGAGTAAGTAAGAGAGAGTAAATATATATGACTTGTGCATAGCTACTTGATTATATTCCCCCGCACTACAGGCTGCTTTGGATTACTTTCAGTGCTCTTTTTATTTGTGTATTTCCCGTTGTACTGTCTGTGTGTGTATTTGTCCGCACAAGCAAAAATGCCCACAAATTCAATTTTTCTCAAAAGTCGGTAACTTGCTTCCCTATTAAAGGGACGAGTAATATGAAATATTAAAAGGGTTTGCTACGTCGTTAGGAATTTCTTGCATTGTTATCGTTCGTAAGGGTAAGCGTTGCCATGTGTTTATTTAAATTATTTTCAAGCAGACTTGCATATTTTGTATATGAATAGAACAATTTATACGCTAATGTGCCTGTTAGTTGCCTACCTGCCCCTCACAAATTTGAGAAGATTTAAAGTTTTGGTGGTACTTCAGTCTCTAAGCACACACAAATGTGGGTGAATGGGCAGATCATGACCGTAAAAGAAAATTTCATTATTGGCACGCGCATAAATGCTTCTATGTATATTCAAAAAATGCAAGAATGCGTGAATACAGAAAGTCCAAAGAATCGTAAATGCACACATGTCAATGCTTAGGTACCCTTATTTCATTATTCATTTTATTATTCGAGCCTTCAAAAGGGGAAAAATGCCACCGATGGCATTTTTCCATGCCATATATATATATATATATATATATATATATATATATATATATATATATATATATATATATATATATATATATATATATATATACTTATATATATATATATATATGTGATCCCTTAACATAAATAGAGAGCATTGAGAGCACTGAGTAAGTGGAAGCAAGCTAAAAAAAACCAGCTATGTCGTTATATAGCACAAATCATATGGAAGAGAGTAAGCTAAAGCAATTTCATGAAGTGTACAACTCACTCTCGCTAGCGAATTCGAATTTTTTTGGTCCCAATGGTTGTTCAGTATGTGCAGTCTATATGTAGTCTTGTTAGTGATAAAATAAAAGAGATCCGTCCTGTTTTTAAGCCCTGAACCCATTGAAAACGGGTAAAGAAGGTATTATATATTGTGCAAATGTATAAAAAAGGCAGAAGGAAGCATCTTGGACCCCATAAAGTATATAAGTTAACACATAAGAATTTCACTTCATATTTATGTCAAAGGAACACTCTTTTGTTTATAAGAACGCAAGAATGTTGCAGTGCACTTTGCTTACATTGCGACATTCTGCTGACGCATGAGTTCAGTGCCCGGCCACTGCAGCAAGCAGCGGTAACTTGACACTTGCCCATGTCGCAAGCGACAGGGTTGGCGTATGCGGATTCGGCTTGCCGGATATAGCAGCTGAGACTTATGCGCGGGTTCAGATCCAATTCAATGTTTCAATTCTAGCTTAGTTTTGTGTATACAACTTTGTAAAAACAATTTCTTCGAAAATACTGCTTCGGCAGTAATATTTAAGATGGGACTTATTTCAAAGAACAAAAGAAATAAGATGACTACAACAACAGCGGTACCTCCGAGGATATATGGACTACCACTATCGGAGATTCATCAAAAGGACTGTGTAAACTTTTTATCAAAAATGTAACAATATAGAGGTTCTAGTCGGGAGCTCCCGACAAATAAATTAATAAAAAAAAGTTTCCTTGGCAGGGCTCGAAGTCGCAACTGACCGCATTACTTGCTGTCGACTCTACTCAACAGCCACACCAGCAAAAATAAAAATAATACTTTCCCCGGTAGGGCTCGAACTCGCGACAGACCGCACCACCTGCTATGCCTCTACTCAGCAGCCACACCAACAATTAAGTACTTATGATAAAAAAAGGAACTAAACTAACATTGCAAAAAAAAGATGCAATTACCATGCTGTTAGAATGCGAAGCAGACGCGCATGAATGTGTGTGTTTACATGCATACAGGAATTCTTAAAGCTGCTGCCCCATTCAATTGCGCAGTTGCATACAACTTTGGTTTTTCTTAACCGATCTTTATGAAATTTTCTACAGTATATCTTATTGTACCATAGAATATTTGTGTATTCTGACAAAATCAATTGCATTTAAATTGTGGTTTAAATTGGTTGGGAATAAAAGTTGGGTTATTAACTTGATTTATAGCTCTAGGGTGGTAGCGAGGAGGTGACGATAGGTATGAAATGAAAGATACTGAAATATCTATAATATTCTAGAAGCAACATATCATGTTTGGTGGCTCTAGCTCTTATTATTTACCCAATTTGCCAAAAAAAAACCGGATGTCGATATCGATTTTTATCGATTGTTTGGAAACGGAGTAAGTTATCGATTATCGGAAACAAGCTCGATCTGCGCGGGAACTAGGAGCACCTTCATCTAAAATTGCAAGTCTCTAGCTCTTATAGGTTATGAGGTCCTTGCGTTCATACATACGGACGGACAGACAGATGGACATGGCTAGATCGACTCGGCTATTGGTGCTGATCAAGAATATATATACTTTATGGGGCCGGAGATGCTTCCTTCTGCATGTTACATACATTTGGATATTGCACAAATACAATATACCCTTATACCCATTTTTAATAGGTTCAGGGTATAAAAACATACAATTAAAATGAATGTTAATGGGATCAACGGCATTTTCAGACATAATAATGAATCTTTTGGACATTATATTTGATTTTAATTTATTGAAAATAAAACCAAAACTTTTGACGAAATATATAATGAGCTTTTAATGCTTTTAATGAGCAGAAGTACATACCATTCAGCAAAAAGTAAACTCTGTTAATTATTAATATATGTGCTGTATTAAATAAACCAAGAGTGCGCTAGTCATGTATGTTTAACAAAGAGATAACTTAAACCGAGCATTCTTTGTTGTGCCCAAATTACGAAGCTGATGCCTCAGATCCATCTGTACTGTCTCCGAAGATGCAGCACTAGTGCTGGCCAGCAATGGAGACAGGGGGCAACAGCATGGCAGGTGAGGTGGAGAGCTACTCCGGTACGATCGCTGATCCCGGACATATGGCCTTGGGTGAGTAAGAAGCACGGTCAGAAAGATTTCTACCTGACTCAATTACTGAAGGGACCCGGGCGCTTCAAGCACGAGACGTTTAAATTCGTTTTGCACACATTGTGCGCGGGCCAGAGATGAAGCATTTCTTTTCGTCTGTCCAAGATTCTCTGCTGCGGGAAGATCTAAGTCAAATTATTGGGAGACCTTTTATAGTCAACGACTTACTAGATACTAAAAAGCTCGCAAAATAATTGGATCGCTATCAACACCAGAGCTGCAGAGATAATCAAATCCTTACCATTTGTCGTATACGTGCAAGTGTGCGAAAGACTCCTAGTAAGCACCGTGTTTGTGAATAATTTGATTCGAACAAACAGTATGATCACTGACAGCGCACTTGCATTCATACACATTGAATGTGTACATTTATGTATATACATAGTGTGATTGTGTTTTGCATAATCTGATGCTATAGAAGACGGCTTTCTTTTTTGATCTTGATCAGGACCCTGATTAAAATGGATATAATGGATTTTGGCAATTGTATGTAACGGGCGGAAGGCAGCATCTCCTACCTAATAAAGTATATATATGATCAGTATCGAAAGCCGAGTCGATATACCCATGTCCGCCGTCCGTCTCTCTGTTTCTATGCGAACTAGTCTCTCAGTTTTAAAGCTTTCTTTACCAGACCTTGCAGAAGTCCCTTTTCTGTTGCTCTCAGCACAGATGTCGGAACCACCATTTCATATACTTGCCATAGGAACGATCGGTCGAAAATTAGTTAGTTGTATAAATAACATTTTTGTATATCAAGATATCTTCACCAAACTCAACATTTATTAGTTTTACTATGCTCGTCATATATATGCGAAATGCTAAATATATAGCTGCCATGTGAACGATGGGCCGAAAATTAAGTTGTTGTTTGCAAAATATTTTTGTTTATCAAGAAATCTTGAAACAAATCGGCATTTATTAGTTTTACCATGCCCCCATATAAATGAAAAATTCTATTAAGATCGGACCACTATATCGTATAGCTGCCATGCAAACGATTAGTTTAAAATTTAGTTTTTGTGTGAAAATCATTTTTGTTCATCAAGAAAACTTCAGCAAACTCAACATTTATTAGTTTTACTATGGTTCTCATATATATACAAAATCCTGTCAACACCGGACTATTATATCATTTTGCCGCCATAGGAACGATCGACCAAAAACTAGTTTCATGTATACAAAAAATTTTTGTTTATCAAGATATCATGACCAAGCTCGTCATAAACTATTTTCCCGTGCTTCTTAGATACTCACAAAGCACTATTGGCATTATGAAAGGGTTGGGTCTGCAAGGGTATTAGATCTTCGGAGTGCCGAGAATAACTGTTCATTCTCGTTTTAATACCCTGAACCAAAGACAATATAAACACTAAGATGAGTAACGCCCATACATTAGAATGCCACGCAAAATTTCTAGCCTGGCCTTTGAGGCTTCGTACGGCATGCATGCCGACTGGTTGTTCGTTCTCTAAAGACCAGACGATCGAATGCCGAAGTCGCGGCTTGCTGATGCTGACACGAGCTACGAAGTTAGTCGCCAGCCTGCCTTCAGCAAAGCTGGTCGATGCTGCTTTGCGTTGCTTCGTTTTCGAAGTACATTGAGCGAAAAAGTTTAGAACTTACGATCGACGCAAAGTGCTTGTGCTTTATCCATGAAATGCATGCTTTATTTTAATGATATATTACCCTAGATGTTAACAAACAATTTTACAGGAAAATTTAAGAACTTTTATAATTTTTACACAAGGCGCTTCTTGCGCAATAACTATATTAAGAAAATAGCACACATACATTGGTTTCACTTTTCTTTTTGGACAGTGTATGTTCGAAAAAAGTTCTTGTCTCAGCCAATAGCGTGCGTGCACCTTTGGTTGTATGCGTGAATTATACATGCATAAGAACTATAAAGTATGTATGTATGTGTTGTTATTCATTGCTTTGGCTTTAGCTGGCAAGAAATTAATTTTGTTAGTTTTCTTACGCAGATCATGACCTATCCCAAATTTGTGTTGATATATGAATGCATTTTGTGTACTGAGGTTGGCTCCGCAGAAAATATTTATTTCTAAGTCGATGCAAATATTTACATAATTTCATTAAATTTAATTAATATTATTTTTATTCTCCAATTAAGAAATAAAAGAGTGCTAAAAAATACAATTACATTTCAAGTCGACTCGAAGGTCATATTAATTATGACCCCATTATAATTATAATGGCCTCCTCGCGGTGTTCCCTGCGTACTTTGTTCTTTATAATTCGAACAAAAAATAATAAAATGAAAAAAATAAAAATTAATATTGTCTTTGCCTGAACCCATTAAAAATGGCTATAAGGGTACATTGTATTTGTGCAATCTCCAAATGTATGTAACAGGCAGAAGGAAGCATCTCCGACCCCATAAAGGATATACATTCTTGATCAGCATCAATAGCCGAGTCGATCTAACCATGTCCGTCTGCCTATCTGTCCGTCTGTCCTTATGTATGAACGCAAGGTTCTCAGAATCTATAAGAGCTAGAGACTTGAAATTTTAGATGTAGGTGCTCCTGGTGCCTGCGCATACCGAGTTTGTTTCTGATAATCGATAACTTACTCCATTTTCAAGCAATCGTTAAAAATCGATATCAACATCCTGCTATTTTGGGCAATTTTGGTAAATAATAACAATTAGAGTTACCAAACTTGACATATAGCTTCTAAAATAGAATGTATATATGCGTTTGATGTTGGAAGAAGAGGGTTCAGGGTATCCCCTAGTCGGGAGCTCCCGATTATAATTTCTTACTTGCTTACATTTCCACTGTACACCCGTCTACAAAATATTTAAATGTTTTATGTTACGTTTATTTTAGCACATTTATAAAAAAACTCTCCTTGCTTATAAAACTATTCAAAATTATTTTGGAATACCTGTACCTATTTCTAAAATTGATGTGGTTGTCATACCTGAACTGCCAATAGTGCGTCCGGTGGATAATTGGGGTTTGTTGTTGTTTAAGTAAGATCAATTTTAAGCATCGAAATGCAAATTTATTTTAACAACCATATTTCAACAGAGAAAGCGTTATTACACAAAATCGTTATTATGACATAGCACAGGAGCTTATATATCAATGGATTGGTTCGTGGGTGACTCCTGAATGGTGGACTGACGATCATCTTAATAAAGCGCTGGCAAGTTTTTTAGCATCAGAAACTGTTATAAAGGTAAGTCTTGATGTTTACTTAATAAAGATTAGGGATTTCAAATAAACTAAATATACAGTTAGATGGAGGAGTCGAGTTTAATGGAAAATATCCAATGACTACCCTTTATTCATTATACTATGAATTCAGTAAAAGATATCCACATTCACGTATTACTGCAATGAAGCAAGAGACAATTTCTTACAAAACCGAACTTGTTATACGCATGCTAAACTTTACCTTGGGTAAGGACACGTTGCAAAAAGGATTGAAAAAGTTTATTGAAGATTATCAGTATAAAACATTTGTTGGAGATGATCTTTGGAGTGCGTTGACGTCGCAGGCGCTAAAGGATGGAACGCTAAAAAGCCAATACAGACTGACTGATATTGTCGGTACATGGCTTGCCTATCAACGCCTACCAGTCATTACTGTCCACAGGGATTATGAAACTAATACTGCGACTATACAACAAAAAGTGTATCTTAGAGAAAGACCACATGATGTACCAGATCAAGACAAAATGCTTTGGTGGATTCCAATTATTATTAATCAACAAGATACACTTAATTTCTCTAATAGCAGTCCTTATGTGTGGATGGAAAAGACTCGGCAAATAAATATCAATAATATGCCAGGAAATGATAAATTTATTATTATAAACCAGGAAGAAATTGGTCCATTCCCAGTTAATTACGACGAAGAAAATTGGAAAATGCTCTCAGCATTTCTGCAAACTGAGATTGGACGCACCGTAGTACCAACATATACGAGGTGAGCCTTAAAAAAATCATTTCCTTAAGTATTATTTAGTAAACTATAAATATACCTACTTTCTTAGATTTTTCGAAAAGTGTGATGAAATTGTTTGTTTTTACACCCTTGCAGAGAAGTATACATCTCCGACTCTCCGACTCCACAGCGGAGTCGATATAGCCATGTCCGTCTGTCTGTTTCTATGCGAACTAGTCTCTCAGTTTTAAAGCTATCTTAATGAAAACACATATGTCAAAACCAAAACTGGATCGGACCACTATATCATAAAACTACCATAGGTACGTTCGGTCGAAAATTAAGATTTTGTTTGAAAAACATATTGTTTATCAAGATATCTTGACCAAACTCGGCATTTATTAATTTTACTTTACTCCCCATATACATGCATAATCCTATTAAGATCGGACCACCATATCATATAGTTGCCATAGGAGCGATCGGTGGAAAATTAAGCTGTTGTATGAAAAAACATTTTGTTTTTCAAGATATCTAGAGAAAACTCGGCATATATTAGTTTTACTATACTCCTCATATATAGACAAAATAATTTTAAGATCGAACTACAATATCATATTGCCATAGGAACGATCAGCAGAAAATAAGGTTGTATAAAAAAACTTATTGTTTTTCAAGATATCTTGACCAAATTCGGTATTTTTTAGTTTTACCATACTCCTCATATAAATGCTAAATCTTAATAAGATCGGCCTACTATATCATATAGCTGCCATAGGATCGATCAGTAGAAAATTTAATTGTTGTATGAAAAAACATTTTGTTTTTCAAGATATCTTGACAAAAGTCATCATTTATTAGTTTTACTATTCTCTTTATATATGTGTAAAATTCTATTAAGATCGGACCACTATATCATAAAGCTACCATTAGAACGATCGGTTGAAAATTAAGTTGTTGTATGAAAAATCAATTTGTTTTTAAAGTTATCTACCAAACTCGGCATTTATTAGTTTTACTATGATCCTCATATATATGCAAAATCCTGTTGATATCGGACGACTATATCATATAGCTGCCAAAGGATCAATCCGTCAAAAATTAAGCTGTTGTATGAAAAACATTTTGTTTTTCAAGATATGTTGACCAAACTCGGCATTTTTAAGTTCTACTTACTATATTTCTCATATATAGGCAAAATGCTAATAAGATCGGAGTACTATATCATATAGTTGCCATAAGAACGACCGGTCGAAAATTAAGTTGTTATATGAAAAACAAGTAAGAGGTTCTGGTCGGGAGCGACTAGGGAATCCTCTTCTTCCAACAACAAATGCATATATATTCTATTTTAGAAGCTATATGTCAAGTTTGGTAACTCTAGCTCTTATTATTTACCAAAATTGGCCCAAAAACAGGATATCGTAATCGATTTTTATAGAAACAAGCTACAACATCTAAAATTTCAAGTCTCTAGCTCTTATAAGTTCTGAGATCCTTGCGTTTATACATACGAACAGACGGACGGACGGACAGACAGACAGACGAACATGGCTGGATCGAGTCGGCTATTGATGTTAATCAAGAATATATATACTTTTTGGGGTCGAAGATGCTTCCTTCTGCCTGTTACATACATTTGAATTTTGCACAAATACAATATACCCTTTCTTCGCATTTTGAATGGGTTTAGGGTATAAAAATCCTATTAATATAGATGCCATAGGAACGATCGGTTGAAAATGAAGTTGTTGTATGAAGACACATTTTGTTTATCAAGTCATGCTCTTCTTAAATATGCAACATCCTTTTGAGATCGGACCGCTATATCATACAGCTGCCATAGGAGCAATCGGTCGAAAATTAAGTTGTATGACAAATTTTTTGTCATTCAATATATTCCTATATACATCGGACTACTACGATCGATCGAAAACTAGGTTTTTGATGAAAAACCTTTTTTGGTTATCAATCTATCTTGCCCAAGCTCGGCATTAACTATTTTCCCTGTGCTCCTTAGATGCGGGCAAAGCTCTATAAGCGTTATGAAAAGATTGGGTCTGCAAGGGTCTTAGATCTTCGGCATGCCGAAGATAGCCTTTCTTTAATATTTAAATTTAATTTTATTACTTCTTAAGGAAAAGTATTTGATGTTGGTAGAAGAGGGTTCCGGTTATCTCCTAATCGGGAACTGCCGACAAGAGCCTCTAACTTGTTTTTATCTAGCATTATTCATAAGTAAGTATAGCCCTTTATTTATTAAATAGTTTATAAATAAACTATGAACCCATGGCGAGCGTGTAGCGAGAACTAAAATTGGTGTTGGTTGAAGAAAGCTTAGAGTATCTTTTAGTCGGTCACACACATAACAATCTTAGTTGTCCATTCTATTCCTGTAGTTTTTTAATAAAATTTTTTATGTTTTTAAACACACTATTTATGAAACACCAGTCTCTTACTTTCTCAATGTATATGTTTACTTTAGTGATATGTACATATGTATGTATGTCAAATATAATTGTTTGGCGATTTGTACTGAGACTTGTAGCATTTTTAGGGCAAAACTATTACATGACGCTTGGAACCTCGCTTACGCTGGTGATTTAAGTTTTGCTACTGCCTTCAACATGACACTATTTATGAAATTCGAGCGAAATCATATCATATGGAATCCGGTCTTCACATTCATTGATCAAATTGGTCGGCGTATTGATATGTCAGAGGTTCATAAAAAATTTGAGGCAAGTATTCACCATTTTATTAAATAAACATTAATAACATAGCTTATAATTTCAGGAATATGTTTTAGCTCTTCTAACGCCATTATATGAGGAATTAGGAGCTGAAATTGAAACAGAAGATAACTGGAAAAAAGACTTACGCTCATTAACTAAAAGATTTTTGTGTCGTTCAGGTTTTCGTCCATGCATTAAAGAAGCTAAGGATGCATACAAAGTCTGGCTAAACATGGCCACCCCAAATTTGGAAAATCCGTCAGTATTTCTGCAATTCTATGTTTTACACAATAACATTTTTTTGTATTTTAGGGTACCAAATCATTATATTTGCCCTGTTTTTAAGTGGGGTTCCACTGATGAATGGCAATTTGGACTTGAACGAGTGATTCAGTTTCCAAAAACACGAATACAGAGTGAAAGAACCTATTTATTAAAGACCCTAGCTGGTTGTTCCACCCAGTCCGAAAAGATCTACCGACTGCTAGAATTGTCGATTTTTGAAGAACATTCCAATTTCACCGAAAATGATCAATTCTTAATTTTTTCCTCACTAACCGGAAGCTCCAGTGGCTATTACACATTATTTAATTTCTTATCTGAATATTGGACGCCGATTCGGCAGAAGTAAGTCCGTGCATTTGCCCACGTTAAATTGCTAAAAATATTTAAGCTTCAATGTTTCTCATCAACCTACATATCTTTATATTTTATTCATGAAATGTAGTTATTTTATGCATTTTATTCATTTTATAATAGGTACGTAGATAATATAAAACATAGATGTGGTTCCATTATATTCGCACGTTAATTATCTGACTGACTGGTAATAAAGATGGTAAGGTCTAGAAAGCATTATATTTCGAGTTTGTTCTTGATATGATAAAGCAAATGTACACTATTGTTGGAAGATTTTTTAATTTTCAATTAAATACATTTTTCTATTATTAGATAAGATTATTAGATTCGTCTCAGAAGCGACTTAAAATGTTCTAACAGACAAAAATAAATTCATAAATTTCATATTTCTGATATAAACTACTGCACTCTTCTAGAGCTATGCCTGTAGCTCTCAAAGCCACATGTCATATTTTCCACTCACTTTCAACTAACGAATCTGGCAGATTTTTATCAGTTTTCGTTTTGGACTATAAAAGTATCCTATTTAAAAACAGACTACATAAACATTTTGTCTAAGCGATGAGCTGTTCTTCTAAAGCCAAAGAAAATTTAATTTCTTATTAATACGTTATTGCTTAGCACTCATTTTGGTGCAGAAGTACAAGTGTGCGTCTGTGAAGCAAAATAAGTTTACTTTATAATTAAAAATGCCACCTTTTGTTCTGCGCATGTCATTATAGTGCAATGATTTAGAAAAGTACAGTGGTTAAACTCAAATGCTATAGAAAAACAAAAATCGAAATCAGAGGCAGAATTTGCTTTCATCTGGTGCTTTCATTAATTAATTTTCAAGCAGCTGGTCCGATCTTTGGATATTTGAGCGTATGACCAAAGACAATATAAATACTCAGATAACTAACGCTATACAACAAAATCTTACAGTTTAATTTTCAAAAAATTGAGATCGAAATTAATATCTTCGCGCTCTTCTCTCTCTTAAAACTTAACGAGGGAAAACATTAATTATAGAATATACTATCACCTTCGGCTTTATAAGGGCCGAGCAATCAAGTATGCTTGCAATTGTGTGTACATACATAGATACATATGTACATACATTAAAGTATTTTTGTATGAGTCAATATATTAAATGCAGTGGCTTTTTGTACCGAAGAAACTAATTGTGGTAGTTCTCTTGAGCTAACCATGATTAGCCCCAAATTTGTATTCACATTTATGTATGTATTGTATAATGCGTACTGAGGTTGGATCGGTATAATAGAAGTAACTCTAATTTGATGCTAATATTTATATAATTTGTTTAAATTAAATGATTAATTATTATTATTACTTCGCTGGCGCAAACAAAAAGCAATAGCCTCATTATTTAAATATATATTAATGTGGGTATTTAAATATATTTATTTAATTATTGTATTTCAATCAATGAGCTTGTTTTTGGTGAGATTCCGACTTTAAAGATACTTATTTTCTGTGTGTGCCAACCTCATTAAATAACATAAATATGTGATTACAAATTTGGAGTAGGTCATGGTTGAGAGCAAAACCACTACAGTGAATACGTTATTCCGTTATACCAACACTACATACACATTTACATATTTTAATTTACTCATACATGCATGGCTGAGATAACCACTTCTCAAAAAAAATTGGCAATGTAAAAATAAAAGTTAAACTCAACTGGTATGATGATATTTGTTGCAAAAATGAGCTTTGCCCAAGAAAAAATTTTATTTTGTAAAACTCTCTCTACAATTGCATATAAGGCATTACATCTTATATAAAATAATACCTATAATAAAACTGACAAAAGTCGATTGTAGGTGCAAATGTTCTTCGCGCAATAAACTTCGAAAACGAAATGTAGCAGAGCACCATCGACCAGCTTTGGTAAAGGCAGGCTGACGACTGACTTCGATGCTCGTGTTAGCATCAAAAACCACATGTATGGGCGGTTCTCACCATAGTATTTATATTGCCTGGCATTAGCACAACAAAGAGTCTAAGAAATTCGGTGTTGCTTGTATCTTCTGTTTGCAACTTCGGTACAACAAAAAGTATTTTGAAAAAAGAGTTTTCATCTAATCACCGTATTAATTGCTAGTCATTAATTATGTTTGATGTAACTTTATATTTTATCTTTCAGATTTAAAAATAACACCAATTTATGGGATCATTTAATAGGTTCAGCAACCGGGTTTTTTCTGACTCAAAAAGGCTATGACATGGTAAAGGAGCTTTATGAGAAGCATTCTGGAGATTTCGGGAGTGCACAACACATAATTGAAAAGTCTCTCCGCAACATAAGAGAAGAAACACTGTGGAGTAAAGAGAATTTGCCAGTCATTGAAACTTGGCTTAATAACTTTTTATCCAAAAATTAAAGTATCATTTTAGAAAAATAATCAAATCGTTATTTATTTAAGGATGAAATTCGTTTTATACTTTGTATGCTTAAAGTTTAAAAAAGAAAAATTAAAAAATTTTTTTATTGCAATATTTATTTGTTTTATTACATTTTTAATTGTTAAGTGCAATATAAAATCGAAAATCATCTCAATGGAAACTGTTTGGTAAAATCATTTTTTTTTACAGAGCTTTATTTTGTAGTTAGTCATTCCGAGCATGCGTAACAATATACTTCTTAGTACTCATCACCTTCGTCTACATAGGTATTTGAGTCAAGTCCCACCTCTTCATAATCCTTCTCAAGAGCGGCTAGATCCTCCCTAGCTTCAGAGAATTCTCCTTCTTCCATACCTTCTCCAACGTACCAGTGTACAAAAGCACGCTTGGCATACATTAAATCAAACTTATGATCCAAACGAGCCCAGGCTTCAGCTATGGCTGTGGTGTTAGATAACATGCACACCGCGCGTTGAACTTTTGCTAGATCGCCTCCTGGCACCACAGTGGGTGGTTGATAGTTAATACCAACTTTAAAGCCAGTTGGACACCAGTCAACGAACTGAATTGATCGTTTTGTTTTGATTGTAGCGATTGCTGCATTAACATCTTTAGGTACCACATCACCGCGATAGAGCATGCAGCATGCCATATATTTTCCGTGCCTCGGATCACATTTGACCATCTGATTTGCGGGTTCGAAGCATGCATTTGTTATTTCAGCAACAGTTAGTTGCTCATGATAAGCTTTTTCAACGGAAATTACTGGAGCATATGTCGCCAGGGGAAAATGAATGCGTGGGTAGGGAACCAAATTGGTTTGAAACTCAGTTAAATCAACATTAAGCGCTCCGTCGAAGCGCAACGACGCTGTTATTGAGGAAACTATTTGACCAATTAAACGATTTAGGTTCATATAGGTGGGACGCTCAATGTCTAAATTGCGACGGCAAATGTCATATATGGCTTCGTTGTCAACCATGAATGCGCAGTCAGAGTGTTCGAGAGTGGTGTGGGTGGTCAAAATTGAGTTGTATGGCTCGACCACCGCAGTTGAAACCTTGAAAAAAAAAATATATAATATGTTACAAAACATATGTATGCAATTTTAGTTTTAGGTACGCTCGCTCGAAATCCGAAAAAGTTCTTTAAATTGGATCATTCGCTTTCCTTGTCAGGCTGTTTTGGAAAATAACTCAAATATGAATATTTGCCTCTAGTTTAAGGCAACAGCTTGTTTTATACGTACTTGTGGAGCTGGGTAAATTGAAAATTCTAGTTTTGATTTCTTTCCGTAATCAACTGATAGACGTTCCATTAGCAATGAAGTAAACCCAGAGCCTGTTCCTCCGCCGAATGAATGGAATACTAAAAATCCCTGAAGACCAGTGCACTGATCAGCAAGCTTACGGATACGATCTAGTACTATATCCACAATTTCCTTTCCTATTGTATAATGACCACGGGCGTAGTTGTTGGCTGCATCCTCCTTGCCAGTGATCAACTGTTCGGGGTGGAAGAGCTGTCGATATGTACCAGTACGAACTTCATCAACAACAGTTGGCTCTAAGTCAACGAAAACTGCACGTGGCACGTGCTTACTGGCACTAGTTTCACTAAAAAAAGTATTAAAGGAGTCATCCCCGCCACCAATTGTTTTATCAGAGGGCATATGTCCATCAGGCTGAATTCCATGCTCTAGGCAATATAATTCCCAGCAAGCGTTACCAATCTGAACTCCAGCTTGCCCTATATGAACTGAAATGCACTCCCTCTATAACAAAAGAAAATAAAGTTCAGTTCAGTAGACCGTGTAACATCACTATAAATAGGTGTAGGCTTCTGTTATTGTGTATTTATATTTAATGTATGTATATACATATGTACATACATATATATGTATCTGCGCACATCTCGCACAAGCGACCACTTTGATCGCATCATAAGGACTTACATCAATATAGAAACTAAGAATGAGCAGTTTAGCTTTATAGCAGTCTGAGGCTTTTACCGCTTCATAACGTAAAACCACTGACCAAACAACATATAGACTGGACATCACATACAAACAGCATTGTCACAAAAAGTATCGGAGGCATCTGGTCCAAAATCGCGAGTAAGGGAGTAAGATATACATATGATGTATTTTTGAACCGCTTATTCTACAGGAAAGTGCTTTGCGCACTCTCTTCCATATGATTTGTGCAATAGAACGGCAACGCTGTTAACTTTTATCTCGCTCGCACTTACTCTCAGCTCTCAATGCTCTCTCCATGTTTAGGGATCGTTTCAATGTGTGTGTGTGTGTATTTGTCCGACCAGAAAAACTGCGCACAAATTCAATTTTTCCCAAATGCTGAGGCATTTCTACCCTTTTGAAGGCACGGCTAATATGAAATAGAGAAAGGGTTTGCCACATCGATGCAAAATTCTGTCATTTTAGTTCGCTATCGTTGGTAAGGGTACCCAAGCGTTGCCATGTGTGCATTTAAAATATTTTGGACTAGCTATACACACATACTTGCATATTTTGTGTATGAATAGAAGCATTTATGCGTTATGCCTGTCCCCGATGCAAATTTAACAATTTCTTTTTAATGATTTGATGAATGAAATTTGAGTAAAAATAAAAATCTTTAAAATATTAAAATATACCAAATTAAAATACAAGATGTGATTTTATATGTATGGTTTTAATATTGGTGATCAGTCACTTGACTTCCATATGCAGGTGCTTGTCAAAAGTTGACCCATTCGACCCAACGAACTGCTGCAGGTAATAAGGGGTCAACATTCATTCATCAAAATCTCAAAAAATAAGGGCGCGCATCAGACGCGTGCCAATAATGTATTTTCTTTTGCGCCCATGATCAGCCCATTCACAGACAATTGTATGTGTGTGTCTGTGTGTAGAGGTCCAAAATCAGAAATCCTAATCTTGTTAAATTTGCTCGTAGCGCGAGCTACATTTTGTGTAGGTAAAAGGGGGCTATTGGTATTCTCAAGTCAGGAACTCCCAGCTCACCTCTTACTTGTTTTCATTGATTCTTATTTCTTGGACTCCACAACCAGTATGAGGGGGTATTTAGGTTAAATAGAATTGCCAGCTCAAGTTCGGTAGGGAAAAGCAACTTTTTTAAACATATTTGTTGGCTTAGATAGTATACGGATCCCCAGGTGGAGTACTTCCGACTGCATTTATTTTATATTTTTTTAAAAAAATTTTTTATAAAGAAAGTGTTTTGCTTATCATAATATTTCGACCAAGCTCGGAAATTATTAGTTTTAATAAATTATGAAAAGTATTAACGACATCAGCCTACTATAACATAAAGTTACTATTATTGCATGATATTTGACATATATCGAAATATATATATATATACATATATATATATAGTATAGTATATATAGTATATATATATGAGTATTTATGCAAATATCTTGACAATCTGACGCTATCGAATTCTTAGCATGAGATTGCACAAAAATGTTTTTTTTTTTTTTAACAATAATTAAACAATATGTATGCTGATTAGTATTGATTGACTTACTGTTTAAATAAAACAATGAAAACAATTTTTTGGACCGCTGGACCTGGAGCCAGCCAACTTTATAATTAAATCATGGAAAGGTCGCCATAACCATCATTGATTGACTTACCATATTAACTCTAATAGATAAAGCAAAAATAGAAGGTGAACTTGAATTAATAGAACAAAAGATAAATGTAACTGAGAAATTTAAAACCGGTAGTTATCCAAACTTTTGTTCGCAATGAAACATAGCTGGAAATCAACTAGTCGGACTTTATGTTCTGCGAGTCTTTTTATAGTAAAAATTCTTAAATGGGAAGGCTTTAAAAACAATTAAAAATCTACGAGGGCAGCTTGTAGAATAGTGTAAAAAAGAGAAGATATGTGATATACGATTTATTATTCCTTTTTTATAACTGCCGAACATAAATTTGAATTAGTTTACGTTAACCGATTCACGTAAATCGAAAAATCTCCATACATTTATATATGTATATTATATTTCAGTGCCAAGTGGCTGTCACCCATTTTATTTGCAATTCGGCAGCATAGCAAGTTCTGTTAGTGAGAGACTCACTTTTAAAAACTTCCTTTATTTTAAATTTAATTTAAATTTATTTATTTTATTTAATTTAATCACTCAAAATATTGTATCTATTGTTTTACCTCCTCCTTCTCCTCAGTCAGCGCTTAACAATCAGACCTCACTCAGCAACAGAGGCTTCTTCTATCTCTGATACTACGTTAAGCACTCAATTGCAATTGACATGTCGGGGTGTATTGTGCCTGTATGTCGCCACTAAAATATGTACGCCCGTCTGGTACAGTGACATTTAGTAAACCATCTATGAAACTTATAGACATATGTATGTAAATACAAATGAGCACTTTGACTGGTTAACGAAGGGTGCGACCATACAATGTATAGATATACCAAACAGCCTTGTTCTCGGATAACGATAAATCGCAACGAGGGAACCCCGAGGGTGCCTGCGCCCATTTTAGTGTGCCCAGACAGAGTAAGACTGCTGAGAGTAGCAGCCGAACGCCGGCTTTGAAAGTCGAACGTTCAGTATGAAGCCACATCTCGCTCATTGTACGATGTCGCTGCGGCTGATGTTTTTCCTTAATATATGTACGTATGCTTGCTTTAAATCCTAACAGTCCAAAAACAAATGTGTGTGTGCATGCGCACTTGTGTGCATATCTGTTTCCCTGCATAGCGTCCGACAAAACCCCGAGATCTACAAATGTACATGTACATACATGTTTGAGTTGTGTGGATGTGCACACAAGAATTGAAAACAAAAATAGAAGCTATAACAAGTAATAGGTACTAGTCGGGAGCTCCCGACTAGGGAATACCATGAACCCTCTTATTTCAACACCAAATGCAGTTCGCAACTTCGCAACGCGCTCGTTTAAAGTAATATATGTTGGTTAGTGATTGTACACATTCAAAAACTACCGGTACTTTTTTTTTACATTTCGTACGCAGCTATAATAGAATGGTGTACGAAGACTTTATTCAAGCCAAAAGTGTGCCTTTCTTTTGTTGTTTCCTAATCATTTTTTTGTTAAGGTAAGTTAATTAATAGATGAAACTGCATTTAATCTTTTTTTGTTGCTCTTCTGCAAGTACGTAATTTTCGTTACCAAAGAATATTTTAGTCGCTGTACGAAGATAGTATCGGTACACTGTATTGTATTTCCGGCTGAATCTCAACATGCTTCCAGAATATTAGCGACACCAACACAAGAGGAATCCACAATTTCAAAATCAAAAATCTAGCAAAGAGAAGGTTAACCGTCAGAGGTCTATCCCGTGAGGAACTGACTCCAGCACTTGAACCAACGTAAGTTGACCCGTCAATGTCACGTATTCGACAACGATGGTTTTCTAACCAAGCCAAAAGTTTAACTCCCAATCGTCGATGACACTTATAATTTTGTAGGGATAGGTACCTGTAATCTGGTTCACCTTGTACCGGTTGAAATTCCATTTGAAGTCAAATCTATCCTTTGGGGTAAAATAATCCTTTTTTTTTCATTCTGCCAACCTTAAGTTACTTCGACGACAAACTGGGCTTCGACATGCTGATGCAAGTAAACGCTAACATCGAGCATACAAATGCTGCTATCAAATTTGAAGATCAATAAAGCTTATGATATACATTAATGTTTATTTAAAACGAGAAAGAAACGATATTTTCGGCACGCCGAAGATCGCCAACGCAAAGATATTCTTACATTAATTTCTTGCATAAATTTGCAACTGATGGAGATTCAGGAAACTCCACCTGAATTGTCAATAAAAATGGTGTCGACGAGCTCGGCTCTAACTAAATAGAATAGTTAGAGAGCAGCAAGTATCCCATACCGAAATTTCAACAATTCGGTCAAAGATGGGTAAAACTCAATTATATACAGCAGGACCTGAAATCAGCATTAAAATGGAATAAAAGCCGCTTTCTCAGTAAGCAATAGGAAGTACAATTTTTTGTATATCGGTATAAGGGTATATAAGGGTATATTGTATTTGTGCAAAATCCAAATGTATGTAACAGACAGAAGTAAGTATCGCCGACCCCATAAAGTATATATATTCTTGATCAGCATCAATAGCCGAGTTGATCTAGCCATGTCCGTCTGTCTGTCCGTCAGTCCGTCCGTCCGTATATATGAATGCAAGGATCTCTTTAGATGTAGGTGCTCCTAGTGCCTGCGCAGATCGAGTTTGTTTCCGATAATCGATAACTTACTCCGTTTTCAAGCAATCGATAAAAATCGATATCCTGTTTTTTGGCCAATTTCGGTAAATAATATAGCTTCTAAAATAGAATATATATATGCATTTGGTGTTGGAAGAAGAGGGTTCAGGGTATCCCCTAGTCGGGAGCTCTCGACTAGAACCTCTTACTTGTTTTTGGAATGGTCTAGTTATATTTGAAAAAACAATAGTTGATATTGTAAGAAAGGCGTTGATGACGTTACACTATTTTCAGAAAACAGAGAGAACCATGACAAGCACATTGAATGGGTCCTAAAAGCGTAAAGTACTTAGGATTTGTTTCCAGAGGGGGATGAAAGCTGCATTTTAAAAGCTGCAGGCAATACAAAACTTGAAGCCACCCTTAAATTTGTTTGGCCCAAGATCATGTTTGGGGCGTTTCAGTTATTATACGAGCATATGCCATTATATCCTTACCTCTTACAGAGTTATTGAAATATGACAATGGATATTTTAGTGCGAGCCAATAATAGAAAGTTCAAAAGAAGTTTGTGCTGACGCACTGATACATCACAATATAAATGCCGTAGAATTGAAAAGTTTGTACTTTTCTACTCAGTGAGCTGTCTCTAGCAAATACGATCAAGACCACAGACATGCCGGTTAATTGCTTGGAGAATCAAATAAGCATTACGATATTGATTTCCCGTATGTCATGTTATACTTTCCTTAGACCCATAAAACTGCTACAAAGAATACAGGAAGTTGTAAATGTAGGGGCTATCAGCGCTACACATTGCGAACTTTTAATTCTTACTCTAAGCGAAACTGTCATCGCGCTTCTAACAATAGAATGTAAAAGAACTATCAACTCAGTCAGGAATAAACAAGTAAAAGACTCAAGTCGGGTTTTTTTTCGCATAATCCACCTTTTTTGGGGTGTAAATGCTCTATACATGGATCTTTAGGAATATTCATTCATGCTTTTATCTTTTATTCATATTCTTTATATTATTTGGAACATTCGCCCCCTCTTGGTGAAACATTGAGTATTTAATCTTATTTTACCTCAAAAAATGACATAGTGAAGGCCTGTTGCTGAAATTTTAGAAATTTCATCCGCTTCACTATCATGAAATAAAATGAAAAATTTAAAAAGTCCACCAATGTAATCATGCAGAGTCACTTGCTCTGTTAGAGATACACAAACATATACATATAATCGTTACTCTTGTCGTGTGCTTAGACAATCTGACCAAACCTCTTTTGTTGTAATTTTTATGTAATTAATTGATTTCAAACTCTGGCAGTGGTCAGACGCAATAAATTACAATTAACAGAAATTATTAAATAACTTAGCGACGTCCAAACTAAATCAAATTAAAATATTTGGAATTTTGATTTTTCTGTGAACGGATTTTAGCTGGCCCCCGGGCAGAGAGATTGTTTAGACAGTGTGGAAATTGGACTTACTTGACAAACGGTGCATTTATTGCCTCGGCACAAGCTCAAGAACTCCAGTTTATTTCTTCTGCTGGCCGGTCTGTGGGATGCTTGAAGTGGATCTGGACAACGCTTGGATTTCGGACATGCTCAAGGAAATTTTGGTAACTAAATAATGAAAAATTAGGTATTGTGTGCTAAAAACTGATGAAGAATAAAATACATCATTTGTGTGTGTACAATTGTCGGTAACCTTTAAAGGGCAGAGAAATCCATTTTGGGTACATTTAATTGATCTATATGCATAGATATAAGTTAACAACAAATAAATTCATACAGTCCCAATAAGAAGCATTGCAACACTTCATAAGAAGTGCAGCAGAATGCTGACTTGGTGTCTGTGCCATTTCCTCCACGCGCCGACTGGCAACCGCCGAAAATTCCAAGAAGAATTGCCCAACGCGCCAACAACGTCAGCAGCGACGCCGCTGCCAACGCCGCTGCCGCTAAGTCACAGGTTACTAGGGCTAGAATTGATTTAAGTTTATTCAGTTGCAAATTAACATCAAATAAAGGAAGTCTTGCTTCCCTTAAAATTATATTTTTTTATCGTTTAATAATCTTTGGAATTAAGTGGCGCCCGAGCAGCGACCGGCTCGTGTTACAACAGAACAAAACGCTTCTACGTACGCGTTAGTCGGTTATACGCGAAAGTAAAACCAGTGCAACTCTCGTCGATTAAATTCAACGATTGGTTAAATTCGCGAAAGGCAATTGGAACTTAATTGTTCAATTTTGCCCATCGGTGGACAACGCATCTTGTAAGGCCCGCCCGCAGGATACTCTCAACAAAGACTGTTCGCAGGATCCCCAGTAGATACCCAGAGGCTTCAAAAAGGATGAAATCCGGACCGGCAGGGGAGGTTGCCACATCAGGAATAGTACTGTAAGTTAGAAATTAAGTGAAACACAAAAAAACAAACAAACAACTAACACAAAAGTGAAATAGAATTATAAGAATAATAAATACTAAATATTGTAGAACAATAAGCAGGATAAAAAAGTGTAAAACGTAAGCAACTATAAA